TCCTCTTCGTCAGCCGCTTGACCATCTCGATCGAGATCTCTTTCCGGCTCCTAGCGTACTTCAGGACCAACTGACTCGGGTCTTTCCAGTTCGCCTGGAGCCCGATCTCCTTATCAGGCTCCTGGGCTTGAACAGCTGCCGCGAGCAGCGTGACCCGGCATGAGTGCCAGGTGATCTCCGGCACGACCTTCAGGAATTCCTTGAGCTGCTCGGGCGGAATGTGGCCTCGCTTCAGATCATCCGAGGCAGCAGTAGTGAGCACATACGGTAGCCACAAGATGCTCCGCTAATAGCTGGCGGGCCGATCGGCGAATCGCTCACTCGATTCGAGCTCCTTCATGAAGTAGTCCCGATCGTCCGTCTCGAACGCCGCCGCGTGCCAGCCGTCCTCCATCCAGTCTGATCCCGAGACGGAGACCTTAGCAGCCGCGAACCGCGTTCCCTTGTTCTGCCGCTCGACTTTCGTCTGCCACACCACTCCGTAGAGGGCCTCGTCCTTCAAGACGAGCGTCTCGGGCACAACGTGGAGGGCGTCGTCGAACCGCAGTGACGAATAGATCATTACGAGCACCCACCACGCGAAGAAGGCCATGACGAACTGGCTGGACTTGAAGCGAGCGCTCACAAACCTTTCGAGCGCCGCCACCAGAGCCAACGGGATCGGAACTGCTTCCCGCGTCTCTTTTCCCCGATCGCCATAAACCTTCTTCTGCAGGGCCATGATACGGGGATCGAGCAGATCTGGGCCCTGCACGCCGATCCGCTTGCAGATCCACTTGACCGCCCCGCGAACTGAGGGTATGACCGTCGGGCCACATCCCCGATCAGAGAGGTTCAGCAGGTACTTGACGAGCACGTCGGTTGCCAGTGGTATCGGCTGGGTGTTCTGAGATCGAGCCCAGGTCTCCATCCGCTCCCAGTGGCGAACGCACTGTTGTATCGTGCGGAAACCGCCACTCTCGAAGACGATCAGAGCACTCATCTCGTCCTGGGACAGAGGCGACCCGGGTTTAGGATTGCCTGCGATCGCAGCGTGCTCGCCACACCTCTCCACGATCGCCTTAAGCCTCATGCCCCACTTCCGAGCTTCCCCGAGCTCGCGAGCTTTGAGCGAGACTTGCTGATCTTCGGCTCTGGGTTCGATCGCCCTGGGCCTCTTCGCGAGCGGCAAAGGCACGGGTGGTTCGCTGCTCCCTCTTCCTGCCGAGCTCCTCCTCGTTCTTGCGCCTAGCTGGCGTGTGTAGTTCCTCGAGAGCGAGCACTAGTTCGACGAACGCTTGCACACACTCAGCGATCGTCCCATCCGAAACAGCCGAGAGCTTCTCGAACTGAGCCATCTGAAGATCCACCAACCATTGGCAAAACTCATCCCCGAACAAAGGGAGGGAGAGGATCTTCCTAACAGACCTATCCATGCTTGGCCTGAACAGCTGCACCGCGCGATCACACGTGCCTGCTAATGGCAACCGAGCGCCGTGCCTGATACACTTCCGGAAGAACTGCGCTGGGATCTAGCGCGCCGAGAGGATCGCTCGGCATATTTGTTCCGCGGAAGAACACGGCTGATCTGCCGGCTATGTTACCGGCCACAGCGGCGCATCACTCACTTTCTGGAGCATGCACAAACCGTGTACGGCGAGCGCCGCCTACTCCACCCCCGAGGTGTCCATCGAATAGGGACCTGCATGTCGGCCCTCATGCGATCGCGGGCTTCCGTGACGACGGCCTCGGCATGATCAGCCTCCGCCAGCTCGCCTTCTGCCGGAGGGTGCACGGTCGACACCTTCTGGTCCAAACATCTGCTGAGCCGAGGTGGGCATGTTCGTGATCGCCGATGTAGCAGAGGAGCCCAGCTGCTGAACCGCTTGCCGAGCCGCCTCGTCCATGAGAGCTGGCGGGCCATTGCGAGCCCGAACGGCGTTGTTCTCATCGTGAGACCGGGGAGCGAGCGCCTCCTGCCTCACGAACTCCAGGGGGTTGGTTCACTCTGAGCTTGGAGCGGGCTCTCAGATGAAAGTTCCCGCGTTCGACCGGGAACTCATCTGCGGTCGTTCCCACTTCCTCCTGGTTCTCGGCGATCGCGCTGTGGTACCACGGGGAGATCACCGCGGAGAGCTGGGCGAACTGCTGGATGTGGTCCGGGCCTTCAACGCGAGCGCGCTGGCTCCGGCATGCCTGGATCGTGTTGATCAGCGTGGGGCCGGAGATGTGGCTAACAGTGAGCCAGGTGCTCGGTACGGACGTTCGCCCGCACTTGAGGTCGATCCGGTTGCAACATGTTGGCGTCCCGGAACCGGAACTCCACCCGATCGGCGTCGTTCCCATAGCCCTCCCGAGAGGAGCGGGCCGTCACCCTGAGCTCGCAAGTGCTCATGGCGTGATCACTTGCCATCACCGCTCCTCTCGGGCCGATCGTGTAGACTCGAGCTCCGACCTCGAACGAAGTCACCGAGACCTTCCATCCCACGAAGACCGAGATGACGATCGAGGGTCGGAACCAGCCTTCTTTGGCCGTCCTGATCAGGACCTCGTCGCAGAACTGCTGCTGGACCGAGAGATCCGAGTCCGAACGGTACCCTCGGAACACCCAATGGAAAAGGACCTCATTTCCATTGAAGACCTTCACATCCACATAGTATAGGTGGCCGAGGTGTCGAACATCACCGGCCATGTGAAAGGCTGGAAAGCTGGGTGCGATAGCGCCCGACTCGCGTAGGCGTCCCACTGAGCACAGGGACCTCCCGTCGTCGATGTCATCGAAAGTAGCAGAACTGCCTTGATGCCATCGAGCGTGTAGTTCGCGAACAGCGAACAGTGGTAGTAGCCCGAATTCGGGGGCATGACCAGGTCCCGCTCGGTCAGAACGTTGATCGAGCTGGCGGCATTCGAGATGATCTCCTCGGCCAGCCAGTTTTGAAAGGGGGAGATCACCCTGTCATCGCGATTGTCGATGACGAGGAGGGAATTCTTCGTCTCGTCCTCCTCTTCGACCACGATCTGCCGTACGAACTCCGGTCGCTGAACAGCGAAGGGATTGTGACGGCTGGAGCTGCACGGTCACGACGTCCCCGACGATCGTCGCGACCCCAGCCTGTGCCCCAGTCGCCGGATGCGGCAGCAGGAGCTGCCGGGTTCTCAGGAGCTTCCGCCTCTCCCGGAGTGTAGAACCCCCAGTTCCCAGGATTCTCGCCCTGGGGGATCCTCCGGGGCAGCCCGAACTGCGGAACTGCTGGGCGCTGTCCCTGATAAGGGCCCGCAGGAGGGAACGACATTGCTGCACTCGAGCGATCTATCCTGTTCCTCCCACGCCGAATTTTTCGGTATGGCCGATCGGCTGTCGCCAAAATGGCCACGGAAAACATATGATCATGTCTGTTCGAACGATCGCGAAAGGAGACACATATATACATACATGCATGCATGCATACATACATACATACATCTATATATATATATGTACATGTGTATAAATATGTATATATATATATATATTATATGTATATGTCACATGTTTACACACATGCATATATGGTATCTTTCACGATGAACCCATAAATTCTGCATTTGTTGTTCAAACATGGAAAACGTCATGATCAAACCAAACCTATTGAATTGCTGCAAAAGGTGTAGGTGTGTGTGTGTGTGTGTAGGTGTGTGTGTGTGTGTGTGTGTGTGTGTGTGTGTGTGTGTGTGTGTGTGTGTGTGTGTGTGTGTGTGTGTGTGGGTGTGTGTGTGTGTGTGTGTGTGTGTGTGTGTGTGTGTGTGTGTGTGTGTGTGTGTGTGTGTGTGTGTTTTTGTGTGTGTGTGTTTTTGTGTGTGTGTTTTTGTGTGTGTGTTTTTGTGTGTGTGTGTGTGTGTGTGTGTGTGTGTGTGTGTGTGTGTGTGTGTGTGTGTGTGTGTGTGTGTGTGTGTGTGTGTGTGTGTGTGTGTGTGTGTGTGTGTGTGTGTGTGTGTGTGTGTGTGTGTGTGTGGTGGTGTGTGTGGGTGTGTGTGTGTG